TCATACCGTACATGCATGTTTTATCTTTGTATTACCCAAATGTCGTACATGCATAGTATTTTGTGGGTTCTCGTGTACAATAAGCACAGCAAGACACATAGTCTATTCCCATTGCCCCATGCTCACCACTCATAGCCATGCGGGCTACCAGCCATCTATGCATATGAACTCTTGGTTCGACATTACATTGACTACGCTGACAGGGTTATTTACGCTTGTGCATGTGCACGCACGCTTATCCATTGCTCTGCACCTGCCCGCTCGCATCGCGCACTCAGGAGTTCGAGGTTTCCGATACAACTGTCCTGTTCAAAGTGGCGAAGGACTTGGGGACAGTGTTTATGGTACTGCCAGACAACATCAAACAGATTGCCACAGAAACTTCAGTCAGTCGGTTGGAGAGGAGCACGCTGATCTCCTTCCTCGAGTGCCGATCGGATTGGCGGCAGTGTAAAAACTCGGTGTTAGCTTCTCTGAATGTGCGGTGATGGGGTCGCCCGTAGTGTACAAAGTGATCGGCCACGTGCACGTTTAGGTTTTAGTGTTCAGGGTTTAGCCGCGTGCAGTCCCATACTTACTACACCGTTTCAGCAAACAATCAAGTTTGAATATATTTATAGCAGTGGCAAACTCACTGTCCTGTCCAGACATAGTCTGGGGCACATGAATATACCAAACGTGGTTGCGGTCCCACTATTGGGTTCCGGGTGCATCTGCGCGAAGGATTAAAGATGCACGCCGGCTCTGAACGGTTGACTCACCACTCGCGTGGACTGGATGTGCTTGCTATTCGAAAGGGATATTGCGCATCGATCACGAAGTGGTACAATCATTAGTTTTCCATGATTACTCAAGTGCTTTTGCTACTTATTTTTCGAGTGTATTTAGAATTACGCGTATGTACTTACACTATTAAACTCGTGCACTCATTGTACCTAATTATTGCGCCTAATTACGAGATAGGCGGAAATGTAATAGAACTGTTTAGGAACGGTATATGTTCATATATGCAATGAATCACTCGTACATATGAAATGGGTTCAAACATGTTTTACATATATGCAATGAATCACTCGTACATATGAAATGGGTTCAAATATGTAATTGACGGAAGTTGGCTGTTATACTGTTTAAGGCATTAGAATGATGCTCCAGGTTGCTATACATCGAATTAGTTTGACACTTACGTTCACTCGCGCTGCGATCTATTTTATTTGTTTGGGTGTTGTACTGTACGAATGGAGTTTACGATGTATCAATTTCCTTAGAACATGTTTGAATATAGGATTAGAAACTTATATTAAAAGTTGAGTTTAGTGTAGTCCACTTGTGTAAAACTATTAGAAACTTCATATTGAAAGATGAATTTAGCATAGTGCAAATATACAGAATTAAACCTACATATTGAAAGTAAAGTTGAGTTTAGCGTAGTTGAAATATATAGAATGAGAAACTACACATCAGAAGTTGAGTTTAGCAAAGTGCTTATATATAGAATTAGAAACTACATATCAAAAGTTGAGTTTAGTGTAGTTCAAATATATAGAAGTCAACTCTAGTTTTCAAATGTTCGATGCATTCTAGAATAAAATACTAAAAACAATAGAACAAAACACGCTGTTTTATCAATCTACACCATACGAGTGTTATGCAGTATACATTGCATGCTTTATCATAAACTAGTAAGTAGAAACTACATATGAAGTTGATTTAAAGCATTAAAAAAGTAAAGATTAGTTCAGACTTCGGACACAGAATCTGAAGTTAGATGTCTGTATGCGTACTAGATTAGAAAACTAAATAGAATATATATGATTTAGAAGGCTATGGAGAATAGAGTAATACACACACCGTTTTAATTATAGAGTAATACACGCTGTTATATCTGTCTACATCATGTTTTATTAGGAGACTGTTCCGCTGTGGTCTCGATCCATGCTGGACAGTCTACAGTTCTACACTCTAAGTCTACAGTCTACAACACTCGAGTTTCGGGAGTCGAGAGTCGAGAGTGTTATATGTATGCAGATAAAATATTCTAATTCTATATTAAAATCTATACTGTACTCCTTTTTTGTGTGTGAATCCCCTTCTTGTGAACTCATTGAACTGTGAAGTGTGAAGTTGTGAACTATGATATTTGAAAATAGCCTGATCCTCATGATGTGTGAAAAACCCTCAGAAAAAGTAAAAACACTGATCGTTTCACATTTGTTTTTTGTTATTAAAAAAAGAAACAAAACAATTTTTTAAAAACAAAAAACAAAATACAAAACAAACAAAAAAGAATAAAAGAAAAAAAAATCACTGTATGTATTACGTTTCCCGTTAAACCGCAAATAAATATTAATAAATAAGCTTTTACGTTCAGTTTATCCTAAATATAGTCCTCTGGGTTTACAAATAGGTACCTTTTTTTGAGGCGGCCTAGCCGTCACGAATTGTACTAATTTTCACTTTGTGATTGGAAGTTACGCGTCTTGTGGCCCTGTCATTCAACGAAAGGCAAATTTATTAGGTGCAAATGTGGAAAAATTTCATGGTCGATTTGTCCCCGATATACTCTACAACGCTTAAAAAAAAGAAACCTTTTGGCGTTTACGTTTTATTGAGGTTAGTTTACTGTCTACACTGTCTGTACAGTGTACAGTGCATAAATACAATACAGTGAAATATATGCACATCTGACAAGTAGTATATATTTTCAATGAATATTGACCTGAAGGCTGAACTTCCTGAAGATCTGAAGTTTAAAGCCTGAAGGCTGCCCTGTCTGCACTCCGCTAAAGTCTGAAGGCTGATGGGACACTGTTTCAAGTAAAAACTAAATGGTTTAAAAAAAACAAAATCAAAAACTAAAAGGGGGTATGTACATATAAAATTTAAATTGCAATAAAATACAGCATCAAGTTTGAATCGGCTTTTTAAGCTCATGATGATAAATACATAACTCCCGAGTCGAGACTCTCGAGTCTCGAGCAGTACGCAAATAAAACAATTGATTTTTGTTTGTTTGTGCTTTACAATATATTTATTTATACAAAAAAAACTATAAAAAAAGGTCAGATTGGCTTAGCCCGAGTGCCCGACCCCGTAGGCCGTAGGCCCGTAGGCCGTAGGCCCGTAGGGCCGTATTGTAGAGGCGTAAGTGACCACTTACTAATTTTTAAAAATACAGTATGATTTGAATTTCTGACGACTGACAAACTGACAGTGAGCAACGGAGCATAGCCATACTGAGTGAGTCTCCGAGATGTCAACTGTTAACTGTCAACCTTCTGTCAGTTGTGAGGGATATTTTCAACTTTTTTTTCTATTTATGGCGAATTGGCGACTCTGGAGAAAGAATAGGAGCGAGAGCAGATAGAGTAATAAAGTAAAACTAAATACTAAACATACCAAACTATATTGAAAATAGAGACGACGACTACTACTACTACCACTAGTAGTAGTAAATAATAGTAAAAAGAGTCTACTCTAGTAGACTACTACTACTACTAGTAAAATCATACTACTTTCTAGAGTGTAGTGAGTCTACTATGTACATAGTCTGACAACAAAGACAACAAGAAGAGAGCGCGAGAGAGAGCGCGAGAGAGAGCGCGAGCGAGAGCGAGACTGGAGACTGGAAAGAGTGGACTACTCTAGTAGAGTAGTAGCTAGTAGTAGAGAGAGAGACTGAGAGAGACTGAGAGAGACTGAGAGAGACTGAGTTCAGTGTTGTTTGAGTGAGAGTCTGAGAGAGTTTACTATTTTTGAAATATTCAACGCTCTACACAGGTTTAATGTTCACACTTCACTGTTGCCTTTTCACAGTTCACACGTCACACTTCACAGTTCTGAGTTCAGACTACAGAGTTCAGACTTCAGTCAGTGTTCAACTGTTTATTCAACTTCACACCTAAACACTTCATTTACACTGCAGTATAGAGAGTATAGACTTCAAATTCTACAATACTAACTACAGTCTACACTCTACAGTGTACAGTGTACATACTACATGCAGCGTTAAATGACATACAGTTTTATATAGACATATGTAGACATTTATTATTTTTTAGTCAGTTACGTGTACAATGTACAGTGACAAACAGTGTACATAGTTGCACACACAGTGACAGAGGTCAGAGAGAGCCTGAGGCCCTGAGCCCTAAGGTCCAGACTCCAGAGACCAGAGTCCAGACTCTAGAGACCAGAGTCCAGTTGTCACTTGTCACATCTCACACAAAGATTGACGACAACAAGTCTCACACACACAAGTCACAACAGTGGTCAAGAGGGGGCACAATGAGTCAACGACCATAAAAGCTTCATTTGTGCTCAACATTTTCAAAAAATAGTGTCGAATCCTGCGACTCTGGGAGTCATGAGATAGGAGTAAATAAGGAAATGAGTAGTGAGTCATGGGGCTTGAAAGAAGTCTTTTTTTTTATGGGCGAATGGTATATTACTATTTTGCGGTAAAGAGTAGAACTGAAGTCTATAATTCTGCTTCTGAGTTAGCCAATGATGTCATCGATATCTCGCTTTCAATAAAAATTAAAGACTGACCACTCCCGGGAAGAAATCTCGGGTATTGGGTAATGTACAAAGTATCTACAAAACCAGTATTTTATATAATTTAAAATAAATAAATACATTCTTTTGAATACGCTGACTCACATCATGTCGGCTCTGAAGTCTGAGCCTCTAAGGGTGAGGCATATTATGCGCAAATGCGCACGGCTATGTATTTTTAGTAAATTTTTTATATACCAGATTTCTATGCGTTAAATATACAATACATATTTACAAAACGTATTGAGCTGAGGGCCTGAGCCCTGAGGCCTGGTCGCCTGGAAGCGCTGAGAAAATCACAGTGCAACTGTGCAACTAATAAATACTTTCTTGAACAAAAAAACGGAAAAATTGATTTTTGTACGTTTTTAACGCAAAAGCTTAATTTTTATACGTTTATATTGCAAAATTGTTAGGAGTTACGTCAGCCAAGCTGAGTGGGCAATGGTAAATATTTCAGACTTTCGGTAGGTCAAACTAGGTATTTTCGCCCCGAAGGACGGGTATGGAATCTATACAAAGTTCTAATTTGAAGATTTTGAGGTTGTTCAATTTAAAAAAAAAGGATTTCAGAAGCATAGCCTTCTTCAATTGAAGGCTGGCTGCTATGTTTTAGTAGGCTCCATAAACTAAGACTTGGGAGTTGGGGCAAGTTGGGCCCCGTTGGGGTATACGACAATAAAGTAACCTCTGCCAGGGCAGTCAGTCTGCCTAGTATCATCTATGCAGAATTGCAGATTGCAGTACATATGCACTATGCCCTGTATCATGTATGCTGGCCTAGCGGGCACCCTATCACGGTATCACCTATGCCAACAATATGCCCATTGCCTGACCTTGGCACTTGGCAGCTTGGCTCTTTGGCGATGCTCCGGTTGTGTGTATTTATTTTATTTGGCTTTTTGTTAAAACAAATAGCAGAAAAAAAAGCCCAAAATAAAAGATAACTGTACAATGCGAATGAGTCAGGCGGTCAGGACAGTCACGAGCTCTGGTCACCCCAGCAGAGAATGACAGAATGTCCGATCAGCATCCCGTAATAGATCACTGCAGACTGCAGTGTAGACTGTAGACTGTAGTCAGTAGTGTTAAGTGTAAACTGTAGACTGCAGCGAGAATGTGGGACGCAGAGGAGGGTTTAAGTTTTTTTATTTAACCCTCGCTCCACACAAATATTTACACAGTTTGCATTCAGTATAAATAGACAGATGACGACTTCAGATGCTGCATTACTTTATTAACACATGGAAGTTCATGCGCCTTGAATTGAAAGAGGCCTTTAAAAAATTTAATAAATAATCCCTTTTGCGTTGAAATTGTTGTATACGAGATACAGTCACTGTTACTTGTACGTCTGACAGCAGAATAGAACACCAACATGGGTAGATCAAGTATGAACGCGGAGCTTACCACTACCGATTTATTAGCGCGGCAAGCGGAATTGAAGGTGAAAGCTAAGAAGCATCAGATAGCGACTATAGGCTGGAGTGTGGCCACAGTGGGGACCGCTGTACTGTTCTGGCCGTTGGCTGTACTTGCCTTCCCTGTTGCCGTAGGCGAGCTCAACGGAGCACGCAAACTCAAAGTCAAGGGCAGGAAGGTCAAGGAAGAGTTGAAGAAACGCCGGTTAGCCGATGGTTCGTACTCTAATGGCAGTGCAACAGAAACACCTGACCGGTATTTTGCCTATCGCGGAATGATAGATGAACCTTACAATCAGACTAACCGACAACGCGACTCGTACTCAGTGCTGCCCAGGTACCCCACAACAACTTCTTTTGCCCCTTCCGATCGGGATGCTGTGGCGTATGTGCCGTACGCATACTCGAGTGCTGACCCGCCGAAGTACAGCGATATATCAAACTATGCTTCTTCTTCCTATGGCGGGTATTCGTCCGATGAAACATACAACTATCTGCAACAAACGTATAACCACCACGCGAGTGAGGTTTTAGCGAACGACCTTGCGTCGTCTTCACAGGCCGGATATGCGAGAACCGAATACAGTAGCAATCGTCACTCATAGCAGCCATCATGAAACCCGAATCCGCTCCGTCATACCATCTCATAGACTCGCAGCTTATGAAAGCAACGCCCAAAAAATTTAATAAATATAATCCAATTCATATTCACATCTTGCATTATAGGTTACAATTAACGGCGACACCTCGGTAGACCTGCTCGAGTTGTTGAGTTGTACTGTTCTTATAGCCGAACAGCGGGTCTATTGTACAGGACAGTCGCATTGCCTTGTGTCACTAATAGAGGAATTGTTAGTTCAAAACATTTGAGCAACCCATCTGAAATGTCATTAAAAGCTTCCACAATCCACATCGTGAATCGGACTTGAGGGTGGTGAACTATA